GAACGTAATTTGCGTTTTGTCCTCTCCCGGAATTAGTGTACGATTGTGATTGACGTGACACCGCATTAAAATATTAACTTTACTTCCCACCATCTTCCTAATCTCATTTAACCTCCAAATTCACTCAAATAATCAACAAAAAATTTATTTTTCAAATCTCTCTCAATCCCCTCAATTACTCTCCTCAATCCCACTCAAGTTGTAACATGGGCCTAAGATGTTCTAACTCGAGTCATCTGTTTGACGATCAGGAGGGTGCCTAAACATTAGACGTCAAGGTCTCCCTTCGTAAAACATCTCTCTACCTATCTTCTACCCATCAGTTTCTTCAATAGAGGCACAGTAAGTTTCAACTCTTTTTCCCCCTTTGTTCCTAAATCTGTTTTTAGATTATAGGTTTTTGTTGCATGTGATAATCATGCATCTCCTGACATGTTCTTGATTCATCTAGAGTTCTAAGAACCTGTCCGTTTCCAATTTTGGTGTTTCGTAGTTTGTCTAGGTATTCCTTGCGGGTCAGAAATGTGCGAAGCTTTTAGAGTTTGGCAGTTGTTTAGAGGTAAGGGAAGCTAGAGTTTTCTTGAATTGAGGCTCAATTGTGTATGTTGAGGATGCATGATATGTGAACTGTGTGAGTAAATTCTGTTCTATTGAATTAATGTAGAGAAATCAATTAGGTGTTTGACGTTTTTGTGTTTGATGGGAATGATTATATATTTGATCTATTTTGTATATGAGATTGATGTTGAATTTAGTGTTGATAAAGTGATTTTGATGCTGGATTATTGGGAGTAAGGGTTACTCTTTGTTATAGGTTATTTTGACAGTGTGATTTAATTGTGATTTAAATGGAATTAAACGTGTGATTTTAAAGTGGTGACAGTAAGTTCCAAAGTGAGATCTCTTGGTGGGACTCAAGTATTTTAGAAGGAATCAAGGAGCTCAGTCTTGGGGATTACTCCCCTGAAAAAAAACTCCCCCAATTGGGTTTTTCATTCCAGTAGAGAAGATTGAACCATGTCGTGAGAAGTAGTCAGGCAGATCCTTAGTCTTGGGGGCTTTAGTACTGCCTTAAGGCCCAGGAAACAAACTTAAAACCTCAGTGAGTGTGGTATGGTAAACCCATGTCAAGACTTTGGCAACGAAGATAAGGCCACCACGAGTGCACAAACCCTCATAGCTCCGGTAATTCATGCTAAGTCTGGACAGTCCAGTCTACTTCATCACATGTTAGTGGAGATTTTTGAAACTAGTTATTTTGCTGAATACTTTATTATTATGTGGGATGTTATATCAATGTGAATTCTTTTTAAATCTAGCTTACCCTTGTTTTTGTGTTGTTCTGTGTGTTGGTTGTCTCTCTTTTGCGATGACACCTTAATGTGTGAGCTAGGGATACAATCTGTTCAGTTGTACTCAGTGGGAGTTGTGAGATGAAGATTGCGGGGTTCGGTTGCACTTTTATTATCAGGTGAAGAGATTTTATTCATAATAAATGTTGTAGTGCTTATTATATCATATCTCATATAATGTTCATTTAGTAGTTTTATATACTAATTTGGGTGTACACTTTATAACTTCCAATTTCATTTTCTACCTAAAATATACTAAAATGAATTAATGATATTATTATAAGCTTAATAATTCACTTTAAAATCAACTACCAAAGGATTAATGGGTACCCGAAATGAAAATATCAAAGCTTTTGATCTTTAAACCTTAACTTTGCCTTCTAAAAATGTAACCCCATAAATTCACATCTACCAAATCCTTCCGTTTTTTGATAAATACCACGAAATATAAAACTTTAAAAATTTAAATGTATTTCATTTAACTAATCAAAATATACAATAACCCTTTGGTAAAACGACTAGAATCTCTTAATTTCAAAATAACATGAACTTGGTATATCTAAAAAGCTTACGAAACTCAAAATATATAATCTAAAACAAGTGTTAAAATGATTAGTATAAGAAATAATTAATTGATTAATAAGGTATATAATATAAGTATATTAAATTGAAAAGTGTATGGTACCATTTTCGTAGTACATAGTTAAACACCATTTTTTCAATATTTTTTTCTCTTTCTACTCTTTAATTCTTTTAGAAATAAGATCATAACAAATTTCAAATTAATAAAACCAACCACTTTTTAAAAATAAAATCATAACAAAATCTCAGATTTTAAAACGGACAATACAAATATGGAATTAATACAACGCGAAAAGACATTACAAATATGGAATGAGATCCATATACTTAATAGTCACGTAATAATTTAAAACTCGAGGTAAAAAACTTGATAAATATTCCTATATTGCGTCACAGTAAAAAAATGTTAAGTAAATTATTTTAAAATAATTTACATTAATTAATTTAACATTTATAATAAATATCTCTAAAAATAACAAATAATTTCATTTTATAAATTAATATTAATTTAGGCATAAAATAATTTCTAAAATTTTACTCAATTTTTTAATATGTATTTTAAATTTATAAAAATTATTTCTTTCTTTAAATTATATATGAAGAAAATATCCCTGGACTCTCATCTAGATTTCATTAAATTGATTACAGTGAAACCACACGCGCGAGTGTGTGTCTGTATAATTTCTTAATAAAATTCACAGGAAGTACGAGCTTAGTAGCCAAAGGTGAAATCAAACCCGACCCGATTTGTGAGAGGCCATGGTAGAGAAGAAGACCACCCGTGTGGAACACGTTCGTGTGCTGTGTTTCACACTATAAGCCCTCAAACTATCTCACATATCTCATCAACTCCTTGTCTTGTCTTCTTCTCTCCGGTTATGTGTTAGTATTTTATAATTGACCACACCAGATATCTAATATATGCAATTGGCACAACCCAGCGCGTGCTTCTTAAAACCTTCTTCTCTATTCAATACCTCTGCGTTCGTTCCCACCTTCAGCCATCGAATGAGGATTGATTTCCAATCATGTCTATATTAGGTTTGTTTCGTTTGTATTCCATTTCTGTGAAAAACGATTTCTCTATTCAGTAAGACTTCGGATTAGCTTTTGCGGTCTTTATTCATGTTACTTCAGAATCGGATACGTTATTCTGATTGCCGCAGAGAAAGCACTTTCGCCAACAATCGAATATGCTTGCTGTTGTTGAACTATAATGTTCTGTTTTGTAGCGAATATATTCTATTTCGAAGCTTTAGGCGCGTTGGATAGGAGGAACATGGTTAGCGTTTACGACCTTGGAGGTTAGCTTCTGTTAGGGATTTTACATTTTTGGGATCTACTACTGCGGACAAATGGAGTGTTTTATCTTTTATGATAAAAAAAAAATGTATGAGATATTTTGACTGCAAGAAAACTTGTTTGCGTGTATTTTGTTTAGCTTAATTACACTTAATAATGAGAGATATTGGATTTAAATAAAAGAAATTTGGTATGGTTGTTGTTATATAGTCATCCTCTTGATGTGATGAGGTCATTATTTGGTATCTTGAACTGAAGCACCTTGCTCACTGAGTATGGTGCATCTAAAGCATGCCAATATGCGTTGAGATTAAAATTTCCCACAGTTCTGGCTACTGATCTGTCTTTTTTTTTCTCTGTGAATTTTAATTCTGGTTAGATTTTGTTGCTCCCCAAGGTTCGAGGAGCAATTGTGACGAGTTTATTTGTTGGTAAAAGAGAGGTTGATCTTTGGCCATGTCTTCCCTTCAACTCTTCCAACTAACCCAGCATGGCCAGGGTTTTCTGGCTTCGAGGAGGTATATTACCTTTTTCTTTGAATGTTTTTGGTGATGAGTAAGTTCAATCTGAGTTGACGTTGACTTGCAGCTTAATTTGTTTGCCCATCGAGTCTGCATCAAGTTTATCCTTTTATAAGCTATTTTTTTTTACTCTATCAAAAAATAAACTCTTTTTTATGCTCAATGAGCGTATTCGATCACATTCTCATCATCAGAAATACAGCACATAACGCTCAAAGTTCAGAATTTTGACCCATTAAGTATTGCTGAGGTTTTACAGTCAGGTCTGAAACTGTAATTGCAGTAGTAACGTCAAAGTTTATGGTTTTTTATTTCGTCTTTTTTTCTAAACGCATTGTGATCCTAGTTGCTTTTACATTGCCTGAATTTATCTACAATTTTGTGAAATATAAAGGTTTTTCCGAAATTGTAATTGGCTAAGTGCGACTGTAATATCTTTGCAACAATGGCAAAAACTATAATTGTGCTACATAAAAAAGTCCCTATGGTTGAATCTCAAGACTTCTAATTCTACACGGGTTTAAATCCTTAGAAACATGTACTATTAAGTATAAATTGGTAATTACCAATAATTTCATTATAAGTAAAATGGTTGACCCTGAGACTTGCATTCTTTGGGTATTATTTTCCACGTGAAACTTATGCTTAAAGACATATCATTAGAATTAACTGGGACCAGGAAAACAACAAAACTTATCTTGATAGAATAATTGGTAAAAAATTTCTTCTTTCTTTATTGATCTTATCATTTAAAATTTATTTCTCTAAGGTTTCTGCTCCTTGTGGCTAACATTGCTACATACACTTATCTGATAGATAAGTATTTTTCCTCCTCAATCATAGCCTTGCATCTTCATATTAATAGTAGCATTTATATACTATTTTGTTTGTTGAGTGGTATTAATAAAATCATTACAATGTTGAACTAGTTTTGCATGTAACTTATTATCTAGTTGATTCGTTTTCCTTGTGCACTACAACAGAAAAACTCTGCTACTTGCAACTGGTATATTAGTTGCTGGTGGAACTGCGGCATATGTGCAATCAAGGATTAGAGTTAATAGACATGATTTATTAGGCGATTCTGGTGAGCAGAATAATGATAGAGAACTCCCAAAGGAGGAGGAGGTTAGGAAAATAACTTCTGCACCGAAAGGTAAACAGAAAAAAGGAGGGATGAAGTCACTTCAAGTGCTTGCTGCAATTCTTCTATCTGAGATGGGCCAATTAGGTGCAAAGAACCTTTTAGCTTTAGTTTGTATAGTGGTAAGTCTATTTTGTTATGGGTAATTATGCTTTGTGATTATCTTTAAGATTTCAGTGTAAAATGGCATGATGTTTTTATGTATTTGTTGTGATATTTTGTTCTGTCAACTTATCTTTGATATTTATTGCCTGACTTTGGGAGACATCATTGTGAACGTCTCATGTATACTCACTATGTAGATGAAACATATTAATCAAAATACTTTTTATTTCAAGCTATCATTCATGTTTTGGACTAATATGAAGTTTCATGAGGTGCATACCTTTAATCGGAAGATATGGGTCTTCTGCTGGAATGTATCATCAGGAGGGATTGAACTCTTGTGTGCTCTGTATATAATGGAATTATGACTGCAGTTGAAAATGTTCTTTATATTTTTCTGTTTCATTATATGATTGGATGTGATGATTTTCTTATTTAAATTGTTAGTTTAAAACTAAAAATATAAATAAGAAACTTATTCTAACGTACACTGGCATAAAGACATTGCTTTGAAATCTTATGAAGACACTCGAATAATAAGAGGGAGAAAATAAATATTTTATTAATTAAAATCATGATAATACATTGTCAACTCCATTATTTGTGACAATCACATTCTCTTCAAAAAGGAAATAACATCTGCTCAAATGAACACGTAGATTCTAGGGATATTTTAATCCTAATAATCCCTTATTTACAACAAAGACAAGATAACAGACACTATGCTTATGAATTGACAAGGACAATTACAAATTTATTTAGTTTTTACTTCTCCACTTTGAAGGGAATGGGGGAGCTTGTTGGTTCATAGAAATTACTGAAGGTGTAATCAATAAAAGGGTACATGAAAGTGCTCTCTATATTTCGATATTGGAAAAGAATTAATTGGAATGCTGAGGGTTATATTTTTTTTGAAATATCTAAATAGGCTTTATCAAGAGAAGGTATATAAAGAATGGTACAAACAATAATCAAACTGTGAAGCTCAAATACTCCAGCACTGGTGAAGTACTAGTGTTGTATGCATATATGTTCAGCGTGCAGTACATATCCATTGAGTATCCTCTGTTTTTTTTTTTCTTAAAGTTTTACCGGCTAATATGTTGAAATACAACTTACCTGAGATATGACAACCATACAAAATATGATGCTTTATTTTTTCACAAAAAATTAGAATAACCGTTTCAATATAAATTATAACATAGGCTAGGATGTCATTGAGATATTTATATGGGAAAGAGTATGTTTTAGTACGGGGGAGGGAAAGGTATGGAATTTTTTTTTAGCTATGACTACAAGTATCTTTTAGCAGATTGTGGTAATCATCTACTCATTTTGTTATGCATTAATGTGAAATAATTAATTTTTCTTTACAAAATATGGTCATTATCAATCATATGGTTTTCTGATTTGTTCTTGTAAATAGGTGTTAAGTGTTCATTCTCATACATAAGGCAAGTTTCTACCCTAAACAATTTTAAACCATAAAATAAAATGAAATTAAAACAACAGTTCTAAACTTTAGTTGATAGTATATTATTTGGTTGAATTGCTTTACTAAAGGCCACCTTCTTCAATACTTCCTCTAAAAATGCCAAGCCTCATTCATTGCAAGAATAACTCTTCCATCTTTTCGCCATTTGTTGCTTAATCACTAAAGCTTCATTTTTTTCCTTAATATTTCATTGGGCTTAAGTTTCTGTTCATTTTTTTCTTAGGGTAAGCTTGTAATAATGTATTTCCTGTTTTGGTGTACAAAGATTAATTCAAAAAGCTTTGGCCTTTTGTCTGGCTAACTGCCTTTTGGTATCTTCGTTACTTGATAGTTCCGATATAGAAAGATGTAATGCTTTGAATCACTTTCTTCTAGTTTTATAATTCTCTTGGATTCTGTCACCATGATTATTACTTAGATTGAAACTCTTTCACTTCTCCAAAAGCTAGAGTTACACCCCTCTGGTTTCTGTGCGGTTTAGAAGGTAAATTATCATACATGTATATAATTAATCAAATGACTATAACTATAGTTGTGGTCTTAGTTCTGTTCTTAAATACAATTTGACTTTTTTATTGCTCATGCTTATTCAAGTCTGCTAACAGAATTACATTAGAATGTAACTTGTGCTTGCATGGCTGAAGGAGTGTCAGCTTGTGAACACAGTAGACTGTGACATTAACTTCAGAAAAAAGAGATGGAATCTTTTATTTGAATATGAAATCTACAATATACTGTTCAAGTTTGTATGAAAATAAATCATTGAATGTCAGATTAACAAATGTGTTGGTTGATTCACCAGAAATAAATAATAACAACTCTTAGCTGATAACATTTGAATTTTATTTGCAGGTGCTGCGAACCACTTTAAGCAACAGGCTAGCAAAAGTACAAGGCTTCCTATTTCGTGCTGCCTTTCTTCGACGTGTGCCGATGTTTTTGCGATTAATTACAGAGAATATTGTTTTGTGTTTCCTCTCATCAACTATGCAGTCTACATCAAAGTACATTACTGGGACTTTGAGTCTGCACTTCCGGAAAATATTGACTACACTTATCCATTCTCACTACTTTAAGGTAGATGTTGAATTGTATGTAGAAACTATCTATATTTGATTGTCTGTTTTGAGCTTGTAATCAATCTATTTGTGCATTCCTCCTGCCTTGCTACCATGTTTGTTAGTAGTTTTAACCTGTTTGTAACTCTAGTCCGCTTTTTCTTCTTTATTCTAAATGTATGGAATTTGAATATGTAATGCTTCCAGAATTTTCCTGTTAGCCTTAAGTTCTGTTGTGTCCTTAATTCCATATACTGCTTAAAGAGGACAATAAATGTTACAAACTCTTAACCTGCTGGGTACAAGGCTTTGGAAATTTAATTAAGAAAAAGGGAAAATGGGTCTTCTGGTTCAGTTGTTCTTGGTTTGGGCATTGCTTTGGATCTCAGACATGTCCTGACTATAGCATTTAGATTGTTTTCCACATCTTGTATTATGTGCAAGTTAATTTCGAAGTTGTGAATGAAAAAGTATCAAGCTAACCCCCTTGTTGCTTTGAACAATTGTTTGATCTATCCAGAATCAAATACTTTGTTTCCTTTTTTAATTGCAAGTATGTCAATCACCATCCCATGCACAATTCAATATATTTTTGGTAATTGCCATGCCTCCTTAATGACATGTTATTGTGTTCTACTTAGTTTTTATGTGAACGTTTGTTTAAATTTACTTTTATTTCAGAACATGGTGTATTACAAAATATCACATGTTGATGGTCGGATAACTAATCCAGAGCAAAGAATTGCCAGTGATGTTCCAAGGTTCTGTTCAGAGTTAAGTGAGATTATACAGGATGACCTAACTGCGGTGACTGATGGCCTGCTATACTCTTGGCGGCTTTGTTCATATGCAAGCCCTAAATATATCTTCTGGATATTGGTAAATCTAGTTAAAGTGTACTGTTTCACAGATTTCTCACTTGCTGCTATGGTTCTTAATTTTTTGTTGAGTTTCTGATGGCTGGAACCTATTGATGTGAATTTAAGTCGTTTCAATAAATTCTGTTTCCTGTGCAGGCCTATGTACTCGGAGCTGGGGCTACAATCAGAAACTTTTCTCCTGCTTTTGGTAAACTTATGTCCAGAGAGCAGGAATTGGAAGGAGAGTATCGGCAGCTTCACTCACGGTTAAGGACTCACTCAGAAAGTATAGCATTTTATGGTGGAGAGAGGAGAGAAGAAGCTCATATTCAACAGAAGTTTAGGACCTTATTTAGACACATTAAGAGAGTGCTACATGACCATTGGTGGTTTGGCATGATTCAGGATTTTTTATTGAAGTACCTTGGTGCTACTGTTGCTGTTATTTTGATTATTGAACCTTTCTTTTCTGGCCATCTAAGGCCTGACAGTTCAACTTTAGGGCGTGCAGAGATGCTAAGCAATCTGAGATATCATACTAGTGTCATTATTTCCCTTTTTCAATCTCTAGGAACTCTTTCCATTAGTGCAAGACGGCTGAACCGACTCAGGTATATTTGATTGGTCATATGTCCCTTATATTAGAGGACATGCCTTTCTAGGGTTCATTTTGTTTGTATATATACTTTAGTTATTTGTATGTTTTACAGTGGTTATGCTGATCGTATTCATGAGTTAATGGCCATATCAAGAGAGTTAAGCTTGGAGAATGAGAACTTTTCACTGCAAAGACAAGGAAGTAGAAATTGCATAAGTGAAGCTAACTACGTTGGATTTTATGGTGTCAAGGCTAGTGAACTCTGCCGAACTATTTATGAATTTTTACTTCTCTTTATGTTTTTTATATCGTGATTGTGATGATGCTCCCGAACTTCAGGTTGTGACCCCTAATGGTAATGTATTAGTGGATGATCTAACTCTCAAGGTTGAGCCAGGATCAAATCTTTTGATTACAGGTATGAACTCTCTGCTTGGTGGGTGCTTCTGATTTTGCGATTTTTGGGTGGTTGAATCAACTTTGTCAATTGATGTTAATTCATTACCCCTTCTTTTCCTTTGTTGCAATAATCATTCTCTTACATGTTATTTGGGGGGCTAGGGTTAATTATTCATTCATTTCTGGGGCCTAATTTTTCTTACATGCATTTATAGTATCCACATGACGGGAAATATGGCTAGGGTTGTGCACTATTGGCACTGGATGTAATGTAGCTGAAACTTTTGGCTTGTTTCCTTTCAATTTTTTGGCAAGCGCCTAGATTAATGCATCCAACCAGGTTCTGCATCAGAGATACATTATATTCAATCTATATTGTTTCTCAACAGTGTTTCATGCAATTTATGTGGGTGGCATTGTAAAATCTTGTTAAATGTAGAATAGTTGGAAATAAAAATTTAGTATTCCCTTTTATTGGGATAAGGCTTGGTAGTTGCTGGTTGGAAAGTTGTTCTGAGAGTATAACCCACAAACATTATTTTTACCTGTTATCATCTATTACCCACTTTTACCTTGTGCATTCTCCTAGAAATTCACTTCGGCCACTGCCTTGTGGTACTTGTGACTTTTCTTTAGCAGCTTCATAGAGGTTACCACGGTTGATGATTACTAGAATGCTATATTTTCCAACTGTAGTCTTCTAGGTTATTTTTGTTATTTTAGGACTGTTAATTTTGAATTTATAAATCAAACAAGGCCATACAATTGACGTTTGAAGCTAAAATTAATTGTAAACTTTGCAGAAATATTATTTACCACTTTGATTATCAATTGATTTAATTAAGGTCACTGATTTATAAATGTTGCTTAGTTTTAGTTTTTAGTAAAAGGTTTTGCATTGATGATTGATTTTGTAGGCATCAATCAAATAAAAGTTAATAATATTAATTGTAATGTAATTGATAGTGCATTTGTATCCTCGGCCCCACTGATAGTATGCACCCGTTTTCAAATCTCAATTCCCTTAATGCATCTTGTGGCAATATTGTTGAACCAGTTATGCCTCTCTAACAATATTTTGTTTCACAGTTTGAGCAAATTACCACTTCTAATGCGTGGACTAGCTCAGTCTATCTGTCGACTAGCTCAGTCTATCTGTTCAAGAAAAAAAATATAAACTAACACAAAGATGGTAAATAGTTTAACTGTTCGGTCCTGGTTGGTCATTATACTCTGGTGAGCATGTAGATTTGAGGGGNACTTGAAGTTGCAGGTATCGATAGAAGCAATTGAAAATCACATGCCACAAGTTATGGTAATTGATGAGATTGGTACAAAACATGAAGCAATGGCTGCAAGCACAATTGCACAACGTGGGATTCAGTTTATTGCCACTGCTAATGGAATTCCAATTGAAAATGATGATGTAAAAAGTAGTGAAACTTTTGAGTGCAGGTAGTAGCAGCGGGTTCCTTCCTATGATCAGACCATATCACAATGCGATCGGCTCAAGCTTCCCGATTCCAACCTTGAGGACAAGGTTGTTCTGCAGGGGGTGTATTGTTAGGATATAGAGTAAGGGGAAAGGGGAGTAGGGTAGAAGGGAGAGGACGGTATAAATAGATTGACTGTATAGTTAGAAGGGACTTTTTGATGAATTGATTTGTTGACAGGTATTGACCTGTGACGAGGGTTAAGCCTCGGTTTCCATTCTGTACAGTGATTCTTACTGTGAATAGAATTCAGTTTCCTTCTTTCTGTGTCTTTTTCTGCGAGGAAGAGAGTTCTTGATTAGGTTCCCCATTTAGGAACCTAACAGACAACAATACAAAATATGATGCTTTATTTTTTCACAAAAAATTAGAATAACCGTTTCAATATAAATTATAACATAGGCTAGGATGTCATTGAGATATTTATATGGGAAAGAGTATGTTTTAGTACGGGGGAGGGAAAGGTATGGAATTTTTTTTTAGCTATGACTACAAGTATCTTTTAGCAGATTGTGGTAATCATCTACTCATTTTGTTATGCATTAATGTGAAATAATTAATTTTTCTTTACAAAATATGGTCATTATCAATCATATGGTTTTCTGATTTGTTCTTGTAAATAGGTGTTAAGTGTTCATTCTCATACATAAGGCAAGTTTCTACCCTAAACAATTTTAAACCAGAAAATAAAATGAAATTAAAACAACAGTTCTAAACTTTAGTTGATAGTATATTATTTGGTTGAATTGCTTTACTAAAGGCCACCTTCTTCAATACTTCCTCTAAAAATGCCAAGCCTCATTCAGTGCAAGAATAACTCTTCCATCTTTTCGCCATTTGTTGCTTAATCACTAAAGCTTCATTTTTTTCCTTAATATTTCATTGGGCTTAAGTTTCTGTTCATTTTTTTCTTAGGGTAAGCTTGTAATAATGTATTTCCTGTTTTGGTGTACAAAGATTAATTCAAAAAGCTTTGGCCTTTTGTCTGGCTAACTGCCTTTTGGTATCTTCGTTACTTGATAGTTCCGATATAGAAAGATGTAATGCTTTGAATCACTTTCTTCTAGTTTTATAATTCTCTTGGATTCTGTCACCATGATTATTACTAAGATTGAAACTCTTTCACTTCTCCAAAAGCTAGAGTTACACCCCTCTGGTTTCTGTGCGGTTTAGAAGGTAAATTATCATACATGTATATAATTAATCAAATGACTATAACTATAGTTGTGGTCTTAGTTCTGTTCTTAAATACAATTTGACTTTTTTATTGCTCATGCTTATTCAAGTCTGCTAACAGAATTACATTAGAATGTAACTTGTGCTTGCATGGCTGAAGGAGTGTCAGCTTGTGAACACAGTAGACTGTGACATTAACTTCAGAAAAAAGAGATGGAATCTTTTATTTGAATATGAAATCTACAATATACTGTTCAAGTTTGTATGAAAATAAATCATTGAATGTCAGATTAACAAATGTGTTGGTTGAGTCACCAGAAATAAATAATAACAACTCTTAGCTGATAACATTTGAATTTTATTTGCAGGTGCTGCGAACCACTTTAAGCAACAGGCTAGCAAAAGTACAAGGCTTCCTATTTCGTGCTGCCTTTCTTCGACGTGTGCCGATGTTTTTGCGATTAATTACAGAGAATATTGTTTTGTGTTTCCTCTCATCAACTATGCAGTCTACATCAAAGTACATTACTGGGACTTTGAGTCTGCACTTCCGGAAAATATTGACTACACTTATCCATTCTCACTACTTTAAGGTAGATGTTGAATTGTATGTAGAAACTATCTATATTTGATTGTCTGTTTTGAGCTTGTAATCTATTTGTGCATTCCTCCTGCCTTGCTACCATGTTTGTTAGTAGTTTTAACCTGTTTGTAACTCTAGTCCGCTTTTTCTTCTTTATTCTAAATGTATGGAATTTGAATATGTAATGCTTCCAGAATTTTCCTGTTAGCCTTAAGTTCTGTTGTGTCCTTAATTCCATATACTGCTTAAAGAGGACAATAAATGTTACAAACTCTTAACCTGCTGGGTACAAGGCTTTGGAAATTTAATTAAGAAAAAGGGAAAATGGGTCTTCTGGTTCAGTTGTTCTTGGTTTGGGCATTGCTTTGGATCTCAGACATGTCCTGACTATAGCATTTAGATTGTTTTCCACATCTTGTATTATGTGCAAGTTAATTTCGAAGTTGTGAATGAAAAAGTATCAAGCTAACCCCCTTGTTGCTTTGAACAATTGTTTGATCTATCCAGAATCAAATACTTTGTTTCCTTTTTTAATTGCAAGTATGTCAATCACCATCCCATGCACAATTCAATATATTTTTGGTAATTGCCATGCCTCCTTAATGACATGTTATTGTGTTCTACTTAGTTTTTATGTGAACGTTTGTTTAAATTTACTTTTATTTCAGAACATGGTGTATTACAAAATATCACATGTTGATGGTCGGATAACTAATCCAGAGCAAAGAATTGCCAGTGATGTTCCAAGGTTCTGTTCAGAGTTAAGTGAGATTATACAGGATGACCTAACTGCGGTGACTGATGGCCTGCTATACTCTTGGCGGCTTTGTTCATATGCAAGCCCTAAATATATCTTCTGGATATTGGTAAATCTATTTAAAGTGTACTGTTTCACAGATTTCTCACTTGCTGCTATGGTTCTTAATTTTTTGTTGAGTTTCTGATGGCTGGAACCTATTGATGTGAATTTAAGTCGTTTCAATAAATTCTGTTTCCTGTGCAGGCCTATGTACTCGGAGCTGGGGCTACAATCAGAAACTTTTCTCCTGCTTTTGGTAAACTTATGTCCAGAGAGCAGGAATTGGAAGGAGAGTATCGGCAGCTTCACTCACGGTTAAGGACTCACTCAGAAAGTATAGCATTTTATGGTGGAGAGAGGAGAGAAGAAGCTCATATTCAACAGAAGTTTAGGACCTTATTTAGACACATTAAGAGAGTGCTACATGACCATTGGTGGTTTGGCATGATTCAGGATTTTTTATTGAAGTACCTTGGTGCTACTGTTGCTGTTATTTTGATTATTGAACCTTTCTTTTCTGGCCATCTAAGGCCTGACAGTTCAACTTTAGGGCGTGCAGAGATGCTAAGCAATCTGAGATATCATACTAGTGTCATTATTTCCCTTTTTCAATCTCTAGGAACTCTTTCCATTAGTGCAAGACGGTTGAACCGACTCAGGTATATTTGATTGGTCATATGTCCCTTATATTAGAGGACATGCCTTTCTAGGGTTCATTTTGTTTGTATATATACTTTAGTTATTTGTATGTTTTACAGTGGTTATGCTGATCGTATTCATGAGTTAATGGCCATATCAAGAGAGTTAAGCTTGGAGAATGAGAACTTTTCACTGCAAAGACAAGGAAGTAGAAATTGCATAAGTGAAGCTAACTACGTTGGATTTTATGGTGTCAAGGCTAGTGAACTCTGCCGAACTATTTATGAATTTTTACTTCTCTTTATGTTTTTTATATCGTGATTGTGATGATGCTCCCGAACTTCAGGTTGTGACCCCTAATGGTAATGTATTAGTGGATGATCTAACTCTCAAGGTTGAGCCAGGATCAAATCTTTTGATTACAGGTATGAACTCTCTGCTTGGTGGGTGCTTCTGATTTTGCGATTTTTGGGTGGTTGAATCAACTTTGTCAATTGATGTTAATTCATTACCCCTTCTTTTCCTTTGTTGCAATAATCATTCTCTTACATGTTATTTGGGGGGCTAGGGTTAATTATTCATTCATTTCTGGGGCCTAATTTTTCTTACATGCATTTATAGTATCCACATGACGGGAAATATGGCTAGGGTTGTGCACTATTGGCACTGGATGTAATGTAGCTGAAACTTTTGGCTTGTTTCCTTTCAATTTTTTGGCAAGCTCCTAGATTAATGCATCCAACCAGGTTCTGCATCAGAGATACATTATATTCAATCTATATTGTTTCTCAACAGTGTTTCATGCAATTTATGTGGGTGGCATTGTAAAATCTTGTTAAATGTAGAATAGTTGGAAATAAAAATTTAGTATTCCCTTTTATTGGGATAAGGCTTGGTAGTTGCTGGTTGGAAAGTTGTTCTGAGAGTATAACCCACAAACATTATTTTTACCTGTTATCATCTATTACCCACTTTTACCTTGTGCATTCTCCTAGAAATTCACTTCGGCCACTGCCTTGTGGTACTTGTGACTTTTCTTTAGCAGCTTCATAGAGGTTACCACGGTTGATGATTACTAGAATGCTATATTTTCCAACTGTAGTCTTCTAGGTTATTTTTGTTATTTTAGGACTGTTAATTTTGAATTTATAAATCAAACAAGGCCATACAATTGACGTTTGAAGCTAAAATTAATTGTAAACTTTGCAGAAATATTATTTACCACTTTGATTATCAATTGATTTATTTAAGGTCACTGATTTATAAATGTTGCTTAGTTTTAGTTTTTAGTAAAAGGTTTTGCATTGATGATTGATTTTGTAGGCATCAATCAAATAAAAGTTAATAATATTAATTGTAATGTAATTGATAGTGCATTTGTATCCTCGGCCCCACTGATAGTATGCACCCGTTTTCAAATCTCAATTCCCTTAATGCATCTTGTGGCAATATTGTTGAACCAGTTATGCCTCTCTAACAATATTTTGTTTCACAGTTTGAGCAAATTACCACTTCTAATGTGTGGACTAGCTCAGTCTATCTGTCGACTAGCTCAGTCTATCTGTTCAAGAAAAAAAATATAAACTAACACAAAGATGGTAAATAGTTTAACTGTTCGGTCCTGGTTGGTCATTATACTCTGGTGAGCATGTAGATTTGAGGGGTGTTAGAAGTGGACTTGAGGCCTAACTCATCCCCACAAAACCGGCTTGTAAGGTGAGGTCTGCACCCACTTATATACTTTAATTTGGCCTTATCTCTAGTCGATGTGGGACTTCCAACACACCCCCCTCACGCCGAGGTATATACATCTCGAGCGTGAGATTAGACATTAATGGGTGGTCCAATAGCGGCCCGATAATGGGTGGAACAATATGCCCAACAAACAACCAATAATGCTAGGATAGGCTCTAACCATAGCTCTGATACCATGTTAGAAGTGGACTTGAGGCCTAACTCATCCCCACAAAACCGTGAGGGTACTTGACCATGAATAAGAAGTGTACGAGTTGTTTCAATAAGGTGTCTATTCTTGCGCTCAGCCACCCCATTTTGTTGAGGGGTATAAGCACATGAGGTTTGGTGAAGAAGGCCATGAGAAGCCATAAACTGTTTAAACGGTTGAGAAAGGTATTCACGGCCATTATCACTACGTAAATTTCAAATAGAAACCCCAAACTGTGTTTTTATTTCATTGAAAAAAGATTGAAAAATAGAAAACAACTCAGAACGATTCTTCATTAAAAACAACCAAGTACATCTGGAATAGTCATCAATAAAGGTAACAAAATACTGAAAACCTAAAATGGACTTAACACGACTAGGTCCCCAAATGTCAGAATGAACCAATGAAAAAGGAGACGACGCCCGTTGTGAGACACTACGAGGAAAGGAACTACGAGTATGCTTCCCTAACTGACAAGACTCACACGACAAACTTGATAATGTGGACAACCT